AGTTTTGGAATTTGATATGCTCTAATTGGTTTGTAAAATCATATGATACTAATTTATGTAAATTAGTTAATTGTATTTAATAAAAGTTTTAAAATTATTTACTATTTTGTTCAAGTAAAGGTTTTGAAAAGTCAATGTGACATATCGGACTCGTAGCCAGATCGGGTACGGGTTGGGGGTGTTACATTCTGCTTGCCATTTTGATAAAAACCGATCACTTGATTCCTTTCTATCTACATTGATGCAAAGGGGGTTTTCTGTGCCGTCAATCCACTTTGGAAATACACTGTCCTATGTGAGTTGATATCCCACATCGTTTGTTTTTGGGGAATAAGGGGTAAGTCGAATGTATAAAAGGGGATGGGTTACAGCAAAAGAATATTAACTCATCCACGGGCTTAAGTCGAGCTTGAATCGAGCTCACAATCAAGATTGAATCGAGCTCAAAATCGAGCTTCAATTGAGTCTCGAGCTTCAGTCGAACTTTTGAATTTTTTTCGAGTTCGAGCTTTTTCGAGTTCGAGTCGAGTTTCAATATTATCTTTTGAGTTCGAGTCGAGCTTGAAAATTTTAGGTTCGCGAGTTTTCGAATCGAGCTTACATTAAAAGTTTTCGAGTTCGAGTCGAGCTCGGCAATACTCTAACTCGACTCGGCTCGTTTACACCCCTACCTTAGACTGCCAACCAAAGGAAAACACAAAACCATTAGGCGCCAAAGACAATCCCAAATTACCTTCCTTCCGTGCCCAAGTTTTGTCTATAGCCATTCTTAACTTACTAATGTCGCATCTTCATCACTACCATTACCAGGAACATGCAGCTTCACATAGAGATTAATGAAATTAACATTATATAATAATATATTTTTATAATAATAACGATTAAATGACTTAATTTAATTATATTAAAGTTTTATGATCTAAATAAAATTTAAATTTAAACGACAACAGGCAATAAGTAACATTACCCATCAGCAAAAGACCAAACTCCCAGTCTCATATATCTTGAGTTTCCAGATTTGCTCACGTGATGTTCCAAAATGCAGTGCCTTGACTCCATTAGATCTTCCCTTTTCCTCCCTTAGATCATCTCCAAGCTCCTCCAAAACCAAAAATATGGGTTCCACCTAATCCATACAAGCGGCGGAAGAAGAACACGATGAAAGCCCCGACGATGAGGAACGGGTGGACGACGATGACGACGAAGAGGAAGAAGAAGAAGACAACAATGAATCCAACATAAGGCAACTGGAAAACAATCACCTGGTCAAGAAAGTACTGGAACAGGAGCCCGAAATGTTGTCCTGTTACGCTTCCGCAACCCCTCTCTCTCCGCAGCTATCTTCCTTGGGTACCCCTCGAATGGGTCCTTCAATCAAGGTGTGGGACCCCTATAATGTATTGGCTCCGCCTCCTGTTTTCTCTCGTTCGTTTTCTTTCGACGATGATCGAACGGTGCTTGAGGTTTATTTCATTAGCCACGGTGAGTGTGATTTGAATTTGAGGCCTGATATTGTCGGTGGAAGATGCGACGGAGCCGCCCTGACCTCTAATGGGAAGCGCCAAGCCAGGGATTTGGCTGTCTTCCTAAATTTTCAAGGGATCAGGTTTTGTTAGTAAATGTTCAATCCTACGTAATATTAAAAATACTATTGAGAATAGTATTTAAGGTTTGACTTTCTTATTTTCTTATTGAGTGATAGAGAACAAGTAAGACTCTCGCGCACCGCTGTAACCGTTTTGGCTCGGCTCGAATCGTGGTCGTGGTCTCGACACGTCCACGCGGATACTATCTTTTTAGAGAAAATTATTGAAGAATTTATCTTTGAAAAAAACAAATAGAAAAATGTGAAATATTTCAACTGATATTTATATACTGCTGATGACTGTTTAATTTCATATGATAACAGCTGTTTTATGAGAAATTAAACAGTTTTTCCTAAATTAAATCAAAAACGTTAAGATGTATCTGGACTGATTTCCAGCTTTGTACAAAAGAGACAAGCTATTAATATCATAAGTTATTTGATTTAATTTCATGTGTTACATGATATAATTTCGGGAGTTATAACAGCTGAACAATGATACAATGAACCTGGACTATTTTTGAGCCAGGTTCATGTAGACGTTTCAGCTGTTACAAAAGAAGAGATTTAATCCTGAAATTTTATGGACGATTTTAACCCTATTTCTAGCCTATAAATAGAGGGTTATATTCAGTTTCTCAACTCACTCTCAAACATTCACAATTCACTTACAAAAGTGTGTTTTCTACAATTCTCTCTGTGAGTTCTCTCTGAGTGCTTTTCAATCAGAAGAGCAATACCACCAGCAGTCCACTCCGGTTTCGAGTGTACAGAATTTGGAGCGACCGTGTTAATCTCGGGGGACGGTCCGCCTACTGCAGCGATTACACACATTGGGACGAATTCGTTTCTAAGGCAGTGGTTTTTACCACGACACGGTTTACGAATTTGTTCATTTTAATTACTGTTTATATTTCCAGCCAATACTAACGGTGTAATTTTACAGTTCATATATCCAACAGGTTTAATGCCGTTTATTGCTCTCCGTTGGATCGGGCTAGATCCATTGCTCTTTCCGTTTGTCATGTAAAACTACTCTTTCCAGTTGCTTTGCACCTCTAAGGCTGCATATGGGAAAATATATAGATATCTTTTTCCGAAAAATGCATTTTACTTGCTATGCAACTCTTTGTGCTGAACTGGGGTTGAGGAGCAAGTGACTGTTGATTTAGATTTGTACTGTTATCAGTAAGGACTTGCTGAACAAAGCAGTGTATGATGTGGTACATTTATCAAATATTCTTTCAATGATCGAACAATGGGCTGAGTAGAAATTGCTTAAGAAACAGACTCTGATGTGTCCAAAGTTTTCAATGACATTAAATAAACATAAAATCCTCACAAATGTCATGAAGTCACTTGTCAAATTCCCTTAGGGGGTGTTTAGTTCAAGGATTGTGGGATTCCCATGAGATGAGAATCTCACATTCCCATATTTGGTTGGTCAGGAATCTCATTCCCGATAATGTTTTATTACCAATAGTAGATTTTTTGGGGTATATTATTGGGAATGTCATTACATCCCTTCCCTTAGGTATTGTAACATTACTGGCGTTTTGGACTAAAATGCCTTTAAATTTTTATTTTTTTTTTCAAAAATATCATTCTTCTGTCATTGAATAATAAAAATTCTACGAAGGTTAAATTACAAATTTATCCTTAAATTGTTTTAGATTTACAAAAAAAAAGTATATAATTAAAATTTTATATGAAGTTCAGGGATTAAAATTTTTTTTACCCTTTCATTAAACTTTTTTTTATATTTTTAATTTTTTTAAAAAATTATATAAATATTATGAATTTAATTTTTTAAAGAAAATATATAAATATTTTACAATTTGTAATATTATACAAATATATAATAAGGACAATTTGGTCAAATATAAATTTCAATAATCTTTTATTCCTTTAACCAAACACGGTAATCTTACATTCCTGCTAAACCAACCAAACACAAAATACAACATTCTCAGTAATCCTATTCACTGGTAATCTTTTATTCCCACTGGTAATCTTACATTCCATGAACCAAACGCACCCTTATTGTTAGTTTGCCAAACATATCACGAACTTAGACTGGAGATGCTCTCATATAGAGATGGAAACTGTGCTGAGCTATGTTCTCTTCTCAATTTCTTATCTGAGTGGACTATGAAAAAATTAAAGGAAGTATACTATGTAGATTTAGTAGTGACTACGTAAGATATATATGTGTAGGTGTGTTAAAGCCATCAGTGAAAAACATTCTCTCATTTCTGGAGGGACTTTTACCCCCTATTTTTTTGTCGAGTGAAGTAACCTGTACCACGCTTTCAGATTAGTTCTGAGGCCCGTTAGAAGGCCAGGCTTCATTAACAAGTCAATGGTTACACTAGTGATAAACTTCAACTGCTTACCACGGGTAAGTTCTGTGAATACTTAACATTTCTGAAGGATCTTTGCTTGACCAATGGGTAAATGAATATTAACTTCAGCCGTTATTTCTGAAAGATATGTACCTTATTAAATCCAAATGGTAAGCAAGACATCAAGAATAATCATCCGTAGGAATCAAGACTTTGATCGGTGTCTATTTTCTCCTTTTGTTCTAGCAGTGGTAGCAATAATTGATTCTTGAATGCGATGTTTACTTATACATTGTGCATGGTATCACCTAATTATTGCTTTTGACAGAAACAATTTTAACGATGATATAAGATGTGATTTATGCATTTTCCTGGTTATATTGACTCAACTGTGATGGCTGGCCCTTTTAAATCATCCAGGAGATGGATTTTGAAGTGGCAGAGATACAACCCTCTGATGCACTTATGGATCTGAATATGGGGTATTGGGAGGGGTGCCCTCGATAAAAAATCTATACACCTGAAGTTTTGAGTCTAATGGAAAGATACCAGCCTGATTTTTCTGCACCTTCTGGAGAATCTCTCAGGCAACTTAGATCTGAATTTTCCTTGCACCAGAATGAGAATCAAGGATTTACACACCTTAACAACCATGCTTTAACCAACTCAGTTCATGACAGAGATGTAGCTTCTCTTCAACTACTTATTGGGATATGCTTCAAAGCAGCGACCTGTTTTATCAGGGAAGAAGTCCGGTAAGAGCAGGCTACAATTTGTGTCGAATATTGGTGAACATGATGCTGATGATGAAATGTCTCCTCGGGATACCAGTCATCAGCCTGACCTTCATGATTTAAATGTCAGGAGTTCCTCTCCCCCCTCCACTTCCTTAGGCTCCACTTCTGTTGGTGTTTTTACTCATTCCCTGCCAATTAAATGTCTTGTTACTGGCCTCCTTGAGTGTAGTCCCGTAATGTCACGTAAAGTATGCATAGAAGACTCTTCTGTGACTGTATTACAGCATTCCTGGAAAACAGGTTGGCAGATAAAACGTTTGAATGATACTGCACATCTTAGGCTTCTTTAGTAAGAGTTAGAAACCTACACGTTATCCTACAGCAGAATTAGCGGTGCAAAAGTGAATTGTTGGCTAGAATATGGCATTACTATGATTCATTTGTCCAAGTTGATATTCTGCAATTCATGATCTCCCTTATGTTTCATCTACTACACTATATATATTTTGTAGCATTCAAATTTTGGATATTAATTCAACTTTCATGGTATCCAGAGAGAAAAGAATTCTTTTGGAAGTTGGAGCTTTGTATCGGACGATTCTTTGTGATTTGTAGTGTTTATGACAGTTGATTTTTATATTGAATTTATTTATAAAGTAATTCCTGAAATTGCATGGCATGGGTTAGCAATAACTTTATGTTTTCTTCAAGAAGAATGTAATGAACTTTGCATTTATTTTCAATTGTTTAAGGTAGTTATGCTTAAGGATTGGTTTCACATAGGAACAGTTAGTAAACCAGTCTGACTATTCAAGTATTAATTGTCATGTGATACATATCTGCAAAAAAGCCATGCATGTTCCATTTCCATTTCCATTCCTAACCTTATTATACAGGTAGATTGCCTGTTATTATCAATCTGCTAGTTCTAGTATGCTTCTTGCAGGTCAGTTTTGCTGTATGGTCTCACTTGTGATGTAAGATATTCATTTGAAATCAGAACACTTTTTACTACGTATTTCATTTCACTTGTCATGACCATTGTCGGTATGTTGTTGAACCACCAAGATTGTGGTATTTCCCAGGAAATCTGAAGAAGCCAACATATCGTCGATTGCGCCCAACTCACTGTTCTCATTCCATTATGTTAACCCCGACAAAAGAGGCGAGGCATCATAATGATGTCTTCCAGCCACTACCATGTCGTAATGATTGTCTAGGGTGTGCAGGAACTTACTAGTCGTCTTTCCATCGTTCATTACTTCTTCAATGTACTTGGTGCAATTGTTCCCAGAGATATTTGTTTGAAACTGTGCCAGACTTTCATTGTCAAGTCGAATCTCCTCCATGATTCTATCCAGAAAATATCCGTCGTATTTGATTCGTATAAGTGTCAAATTGATATTTTGACATAGATTCATCCTAACTCCCAAAGCCAATGCCTCCCGATCATCAGCCCCACCCAAGAAGATGACGACGACTTCAGAAGAAGACCAGCATGGCCAAATGGCATGTAGGGTTTTAAGGGTGCCACGGTTAACGAGTACTGCAACCGAAAGGTGCCTGATTGAGGACATTCTGGTTGGCGATCTTTAAGGACTTTTTAGACAAATATTGTAACATCCCAAATCAGGGTCAGTGACTAAATTGCAAATTTTGAAAACTATGTGCTCGATTTTGAAACAAGTTAAAAGTTTAAGGACTTAAATAGGAATAATTCCTTATTGGATTAAATGGTAATTATGGAAAGTTTGAAGGGTATAATGGTAATTTTATAAGAAAGATTTTTATTCCTCCTTTATATAGGATATAAAAATATGGAAAAGGGGGGAACGGAAAGAAAGTTTAAGGAAGTCTAAAGATAAGTAAAAACACAAAAATTGACATGTTAGGAAAGATTAAGTAAATAGAGTTTTTAAGTGAAATTTTGAGTAAGAAAGTTTAAATGAATTTGGAAGTTGAATTTGACTTGTCATAAGTGTGAATAAGAAGTTATAAGTGTTAAAATTGAGTTTGAATTACATGGAAAATTTAGTAAGATTCTTGGTTTTAAGAATTTGGATGAGATATATGAGATAATAAGATGTTGAAATAATGGAAATTAGTTAAAGTGTTTATAGTTGGGTTTGGTAGTATAAAAAGTACTCTATATAATGAAATTTAGTGAAGAGTTGTGAAATTTCCGGGTGAAAAATGTATGTTCTGAGCAGGGTGTATCGATACACTATGAATAGGTACCGATACACTAAGACCAATTTTGAAAAATATCTTCATGGTGTATCGATACATTGAGGAGTGTACCGATACCTGTGAATTTCGAAAGCAATTTGGGTACCGATACACCCGTAGTGTACCAATACCCTCTTAAAGGGAAAAATGATTTTTTTGAAGAATAACTTATGTTAATCGTCTTGAAAATTTTATTTATGTAGATACAGAGCCTAAATGAGTTCCGGAACAATTGAAAGGTACGATTGATCGAGGAAAAGATAAGAGATCCGTATTGAATAGTGAGGCTAGATGAGTGCATGTTTAATGGGAAATAAGACTTGTGATAAGTCTATTTCCAATATTAAAATGCATGAATTCATATATAGAAGTATGTGTATGTTGTGATTTATATGTGTGCATGAGTATATATGATAATATGTTATTATGTATATTACATGATTTGTATAAGTGTATATAGTGTGATAAGTTATATGAAATAGTACAAATGATCTATATGATCATATAAGAATATGAAATAAGCTATGTGATAAAGACATAAAGAATGAAATGAACATGTGACATAGGCTATAAGCTAAAGAATTATTTGATATAAATATATGTTATGTAAATATGATATAAACCATGTGATATTGAATTATGTGACTATGTATGAATGGTATAAGCTATATGATTTTAAGGTATGTGAATATATGACTATGGGAAAACATAAGAATAAGATATAAACAATGTGACAAGAAATGTAAAATGACATGAAAAGTTGATACAAGCTATGCAAAAGTGATCTACGTGACTATAAGTATATGTGATCCAAATTATGTGACATAAGCTATGATGTGAAAGTGAACTACGTGTTTATGTGAATATGTGAAATGATATAAATGATAATGCCCATGTTATGTGTCATGAGAGCTAGGGGTATAGTTGGTATGCCAAGAGTCGAGGGTTCTACGCGGTCATTCAGGACACAGTGGTCCTTCGGGACATATGTGATATGTGGTCCTTCGGGACATAGTGGTCATTATGGACAAATTCTATGCACCCCTAGTGGGAATTATACGAGTTGTGGTGACAGCATAGTGCACAACCTCTATGTACTCACATATCTTTAGCATGGGCTAATAAAGAGATAATAACAAATACATTATATGTGATAAGTATGTTTGATAATATGAAATATGTTATAGAAATTACTTGATGACATGTTTGTTCATTGGTGTAGTGATATACGTGTGATATGATGTGTATATGGTAAGAAAAATGGATTAATGATGATGATAAAAATAATAATAAGGATAATGAAATGATATGTATATGTATGTAGTCATGTAGTTAGGTTTTGATGCATAATGCATTCTATAGTTTATGATGATAACATAAAGTGTGCATAGTAAGAATTAGTAATGATATGTTATAGTCAGTTTATTTATGCCTTTCTAAGTCATCGATTTAGCGTGTGAGTGTTTCACACGTAGGTTCTGGAATCGAGAAGAGAAACTAAGGGGAGCAAGACAGGTCAGCATTCTTTTTCCTAAAGATCAGATCATAAAAGTTTTGAATTATCTGTATTTTATTATATGAAATGTAGTTCGCATGTAAGATAAAAGATTTGTATTGGATACGCTCTGAAAAGTTTTGTAAAACATATGCTTTATACAATAGAAATTATTTGGTTTTATTTGAAATGTCAAACTGAAATTTATTAGACTTTGTCAAAGTAAATGTTTTGAACAGTCAATGTGACACCTCGGACTTGTATCCGGGTCGGGTACGGGTTGGGGGTGTTACATTTAATGGTATTAGAGCTAAGGTTTAGTCGATTATAGGCTTAAACCGAAGGTAAAAGAGTTTTAAAATGTGTACATGCCAACCCATAGTGGAAAATTTCTGATATGATAGTGTAAGGAGTATGTTGTCTTGCTAATAGAATAAGATTAGTTTAATATAGTATAAATTCGATTGTGAAAATTTCTGAAGAAAAATGAGAGGTAAACCTGATGGTGTGTAACATCCTCAATACCGAGTTAATGATTAAAGCATAAGATTTTAAAATTTCAATGACCAAATTAGATAAATTGAAAAGTGAAGGAATTAATTGAAATGTATTGTGTAGGATGATTTAATAAATGAAGCAAAAGTAAAAGGGCAAGAGGGTCATTGAGCAAATAAAATAATAAAATAATAATTGTGGGTATTATAATACCCATGTGGAATATGCTTTGAAGAGATAAGTTTCCAGACTTATCTTCTTCATCTTCTTCTCCCAAACGTGAAGCCTCAAGCTCAATGTGAGTTTGATTTCTTTTGGTTAATCCTTCAAATTAGAGCATGGGTTTGATTCATGAAGCTTTAGGAAACATGATGGAGATGAAAAAGGTCATAAAAACTCAAAGATTTGTAAGTTATGAAGGATTAAAGATAACAAGTGGATAAGTGAAATTTTGAATAAGAAGGTTTAAATGAATTTAGAGGTTGAATTTGACTTTTCATCTATGAAATTAAGAAGTTATAAGTGTTATAATTAAGTTTGGATAACATGGAAAATTGAGTATGATTCTTAACTTTAAGAATTTGAATGAGATATGGGAGATTCTAAAGTGTTGGAATGATAAACGTTAGTTAAAATGGTTGTAGCTGAGTTTAGTGGTATGAAATGAGCTTTGTATGAGGAAATTCAGTGAAGAGTTGATGAATTTTCGAGGTGAAAAAGCATGTTTTGAGCAGAGTGTATCGGTACCATATGTATGTGTATTGATTCCCTCTTGAACAAAAAATTCCAGAATATAATAAGGGCACCGATACCCTAAGGAGGGTATCGATACCCCCTAAAGGAAAAGTTGAAGTTTGGTTCATTAAATTCGTTTAAGCTATTAGTATCAATTTATAAGGTTTAGGCTTTTGATAATTGTCTCATAAATTATGTTTATGTAGATATCGAGCCTAAACAAGTTCCGGAACAAGTGACAAGTAAGATCGTTCGAGGGAAAGGAAAAGAGATATAGGTAAGTGTATATGCATAGCATGAATATAGTATTATAATCAGTCTCGACTTGTGATAAGTCTAGACTTGTGATAAGTCTAGATTCAATATTTTGATACATGATCACATTCCATATTATGATACATGACATGAATTCATATTATATGCATTATGTGACATGAATATGCAGAAAAGTTATATGAGCTATGTGATAAATGTATGGAAAATGATACGTCTATGTGATAAAAGTATGCAAATAATATGTCTACGCGATATAAACTATGTGAATTGTGAAAGCCCATGTTATGTAGATGAGAACTATAGGTATAATTGGCATGCCAGAGTAGAAGGTCTACGCGGTCCTTCGAGACAAATTTTACGTGTTTCTTTGGGACATATATGTATTCTTTGGAATATGTATGAGATCTTTTGAGACACCTACTTGATCTTTGGTATATGTATATGATTCTTAAGGAATTTCTATGTGGTCTTTTAGGGACATACTATATGTCACTACGGTGCAATTCTACGTGGCACTTCGGTGCATTTCTACGCGATCATTCGGGATAAATTCTATGTGGCACTTCGGTGTAAATTTATACGAGCTGTGGTGACAGCATAGTGTACAACCTCACAACACTAACATACCTCGGGTTCTCAGTATTGTATCATGGGCTATTGAATCTATTGAACTTATTAATATAAATTCATGATAGTTAATTTGATGAGATTATTGGTAAGATACATTGTTATGCAGCTTACATGGATTGTATAGATGATTTCATTACATTTCATCTTATTATGATATCATCATTATATTTCATTGTTATCATTATTATGCCTCACTAAGTCGATGACTTAGCGTGTGAGTGTTTCACACGTAGAATCAGAGAAGATAGACAAGAAAGGTTAGACAACTGGGACAACATTACTCTTACAACTATCAGATCAGAAGAAACTTAAACAATATGTATTATTATGTGATAAATAAGTTGGCATGTAAGCAAAGTCGTTAAATTAAATATGTATGCTCTGATCGAGTTTTGGAATGTTTTAAATGTATTTATGTAAATGGTAAATGTATAGTGATGAAAGGTTAAATTTTAAGAGTTTATGTATGTTTTATGGAAGTACTGTAGCAGTACTGTAGCAGGGTAGCAGTACTGTAGCAGGATAGCAGTACTGTAGCAGGGTATCGGTACCTGTAGCAAGGTATCGGTACCTGTAATAGGGGTATTGATACCCCTATAACATTCTAGAAAATTTTTAGCATTTGGTATATTGTAGTAGGGTATTGTTCATCACTGTTCATTACTGTTCATGGTACTGTTTATACCATATTTTTACTGTTCATAAAATGTATATTTTATTAAATTGGTTATAACGAACATAATTTAATAATATATTATCATATTTTCTTAATATATTATCATATTTTCTTAATATGAGTTCAAATGTTTTGTTATTTTGTAAGAATATTGCTTTAAAAAGTCAATGTGACGTCTCAGACTCGTATCCCTATCGGGTACGGGTTGGGGTGTTATATTTAATGGTATCAGAGCTACAATTTAGTTGATTCTCGGTATAAACTGAAGTCTAGAGTGTCTTATAATTTATACATGCCAACAAAATAGTGAAAACTTCTGATCTGGTGTAGTATAGAGTATGATGTTTTGCTAATAGAATGATATGTTTATTCTTATTAGATGTCCGGACATGATAGTTCTCGAAGTGAAGCGGGAGATGATCGGCCCGCTGAAAGCAGTAATTTACCTGCCCTGGCCAGGCAAGGTGAAGAACAGAGTAAATGTAGCAAAGGAGTTGAGAGGATTAGGAGCTCTCAAATTTAAGGGAGAAGCCGAAGAATGTCCGGTTGCGGCGGATCTTTGGTTAAATGATTTGAAAATTATGCTAGATGATCTCCACTTCTCTGAAGTGGAGAAAATGGATGAAGTTGTGTCTTTACTTAGAGGACAAACTAGAATATGGTGGACGAATGTCACCATGAGTATGTCAAGTGATCAAGTAACTTGGTCTCTGTTCTTGGAAGAGTTTAAACACAAATACATTGGAGATCAATTCATCATGCAAATGAATCAGGAGTTTATGAAATTGAAACAGATGAATCGCTCCGTATACGAATATGAATGTGAATTTAATAAGCTGAGTCGATTTGCAGCTGAGCTTGTTACTACAGAGAAAGATGCTTCTGAATGGTTTGTGGAGGGATTGCGCCCTAGATTGAAAGAGATGCTGATAGTACTGAATTTTTCCTCGTTCCAGGAGGTGATTAATTGTGCTAAAGCTCTTGAAAGAGCTCAGAATGAGAGATTTAGGGACTCAAGAGTTTAGACATCCAAGAGGACTGATGCTTCTTCAAGCACAACACCACCTAAAAGAGGAAGAGATTCAAGATTTCAACCTCAAGCTAGATCAGAATCAATTGCATCCTTTGCAAGAGGAACAAGTCAGATGAGAGCTCGACAGACGCAATCAGTGGAATCTGGTATTATGAGATCCACTCCGGGTCAAATAAGACAATGTCAGCATTGTGGGAAAAATCATTTTGGAAACTGTCGAATGGCTTCTGGAGTCTATTTTCAATGTGGAGATGCCGAACATTTTATTCGGGATTGCCCATTAATGGTTGGTGAGTCTGCACCATCTGAAAGAAATATCTTCACCTCACAACGAGGACGAGGAAGAGGTAGAGGGAGGAATCAATCTGAATCCTCTGCACAACCTAAATTTCGCTCCACTCCACGAGTATACAATTTAAAGACAAGTGACAACCGTGATGATCTCGATATTATAGCAAGTACTTTCCAGCTGTATGATAAATTAGTATTGGTGCTGATTGATCCGGGTTCTAATTATTCTTATATTACTAGTAAATTAGTAAAGGAATTGAGAATCCCATTAAAAGCTACGAGTAATGAGGTAATAGTAACTAATCCTTTAGGGCATAATGCTCGGGTAAATAAGGTTTGTAAAGGGTGTCCCCTAAAGATTCAGGGAATTAAATTTCCTGTTAATCTAATGGAACTACCTTTTGATGAATTCGAAGTGATTCTGGGAATGGATTGGTTGTTTTATTATTATGGGAACGTGGATTATAGATTGAAAAAGGTAACCCTAAAGAGTCTAAAAGGGATAGAAGTAAATGTGATTATTGAAAGGTTTAATCCTTTAGCAAATGTAATATCGGCAATGTCTGCAAAGAAGTTGATGCTACAAGGATGTCAGGGTTTGTTGGGTTAATCGATCGATGTAATCGGCCAAGAGGGGGGTGAATTGGTAATTAAAATTTTTGTGGAAGCTTTTGCAGAAAATTGAAAGTAATTACACATCGATTTAGAGTAGTTTGACTTTCTCAATCAAAGTCTACGTCCACTACCTTAGCTATCCACACTAAGGATTTTCCAACAAATTCACTAATTTGTTCTTTCTTTTGAGGCCAAAGAGATAACCTTACAACTCCCTCAAGAATATTCCCCAATTCTTGAGAACACTATTTCTCAAAGAGAAGATTACAAATTTGCAAACTTACAAGGAAATCCTCACAAGGTATAATATTTGCACAATTCTAGAACAAAGAAAATAACACTAAAAAATGAATACAATTGAGTACAAGTAGTGTTCTTGAAAGTAAAGTGAATATTGAATGAAAAATAGGCTTGAAATGCTAAAATTTAAGGTTTGATGCTTTCTCTTTGATTCTCTCTTGATTCTAGTTGATTGTTATTTCTTGTTTTTGATCAATGGCTTCTAAACTTGTTTAAATACACCTTCAAATGATTCTGAATGTTGGGGATGCTTAGTGGAGTCAATGGAGTCGTTTAAATGTGAAAACAATTAATAAATTCAGTTGGGAGCGTCAGTGCATCGATGCATACCCTAGGTGCATTGGTGCATCAGTGTAAAATTCAAATATTTTGACCGTTGGACCCTTAGTGCATCGGTGCACTAAGAGTGCATCGATGCATCAAGTGCATTCGATGTTTCAAAATAGCCAGAGTGCATCGATACATGGCTGGTGCATCGATGCATCAAATGCATTCGATGTTTTCATAAAATCCGTAGTGCATCGATGCATGGTATGTGCATCGATGCATGAAATGCATTCGATGTTCAATTTAATCCATGGTGCATCGATGCATGGATTGGTGCGTCGGTGCATCACTCTGAAAATTGATTTTAGGCTTGATTTTGGTTCAAAATACTTTGTGAAAATTGTTTCAAAAATATATTAAGTATAAAACACAATTTTACACATTTAGTAAGGTTTGAATTTGAAGTTGAAAGACTTGGAGTAATAATTTGATATTCGATTAATTAAATCGAATATACTTAGAAAATCATTTGTAAAATCTTAAAATTCATTTAAACTTAATTTGTTATATCGAAATACAAAAATGTTTTCAACAATCTCCCCCTTTTTGATATAACAAAACATTTGTGTTATTTTAAGATTTTCTAAAAATTTGAAATCAATTTTGAAAAAAAAATTACTCCCCCTTACTATAACACTTCTCCCTTTTAAAAACATTTTAACACTTAACATTTCTCCCCCTTTTTGTTAAATCAAAAAGATATTTAAAACGTTTGTAAACAAGGTTTTGAAAAAACATAGCCAATTGATTAAATATATATATATATATATATATATATAGCTTAAGCTGCTAAGATCACAATCAAAAGAGAGATTAGCCATTAGTTCCATAAACAATATTAATAATTAAATGTGAAATGACATAATTGGTCATATATATCTAATGATGCAAAAAATAAGAAAATTCAACCAAACCAAATATATATATATATTAAGTTCAAAATTCAATCATCCAAACCATAAGAGGATGAGGAGGAAATCGGGCTTGCATCTCAAGAGAGAGAGTATCCATGCATGCAAGCATATCCCTTTAAAACTCCATCTGACGAGTTTACAAAGTGTCTAAGTGTTGATTTACTGCTTAGTGAGTAACAGTCAAGTAGGATTCGATGGAAGCATACCGTAGATCAAATGTCTCAAAAAACAAACGAAAATATAGAGGCATTTGATCCTCTTGTGGAGCAGGTCCGGTGCAGGTTCGTCATCAGGTACGTGATCATCGATGTCCTGCATAAGCTGTTGAAATTCAGGATCATCGTCAGTAGCCGGAGCCGAAGGAGGAGCACGAGAGGAGTTAGGAGCAGCTCGTGAGGAACTAGCTCCCGGAGTTTGCTTACCGGGTCTAAAAACCCATTGACCGATTACCTCGTCTTGTTTTCAATATGCTTTCTTCAAGGATGTGAGATTGATTGGGTTTTGGAGAGGAATAGGATTGTCAAGAGAGACATCCAGATCGAGTTTGATAAAGAGATTGCTAAGAAGACAACCATAAACTAATGTTTCAACATGTTTAGACGGGATAATGTTTATGGTATCGACTAGCACACTAAAGATAATCCGTGGAAGATTTATTTTGATCTTATTCTTAATACAATACATCCACCATAAATCCCTAGCACGAAGAGTGGAGTACCTACCCGCAGATGGTCGAAACCACCACGAGATCATTAAATGAAGAAAACGATCGTGATGAGATCGAAGGGTACTAACACTAGCGTTTGGGAGATATGGATATTCCACAGTTTCTTTTTCGTCATATACACCATTATCATCTAACCCAAATTTTGAAGCTATAGTTGCGGAATCAATAAGAATATATTGTCCTAAAAGGTAGGATCTAATTCCTATAGTTCCACATTGAGTTTTGTTTTGAATACATACCGCATTAGAATAGAAAATGCGGACTAATTGATGAAAGACGATAGGTCTAAGAGAAAACATTTTATCAAACTTCCATGTTCTAAGAATCGGGAGGTATTCAAATTTAAAGTCTATCATGGCTTGTAGAGATGGAATACGTTCTTCCCTAATTCTATAAGATTGGAAAGAATCCATGTACCTATGGTACAATTCTTCTCTCCGACATTCAGGCATATTAAAACATGTACTAATTATGGTCTTTTGAGGATTGTTTGGATTTTGTGGTGGAGGAATAGGAGGACGATTTTGGTTTGATCGACTCGAAGAGGACCTAGGACGTTTGGGATTTGACATGATTTAAAGATCGGAAAAAGGAAAGAAATAGATAACCTGCAAATTGAAAAACATGTATGCACAATAATCAATCCCAAAACTCAATTGAGTCCGCAATAATCAAGGTTCTCTAAAACAATCATAATGGACAAAGTTTTGAAAACTATTTGAAAATATCATTGGAAATATTGCAATACATATAGTTTTCATAAAAACAATATAATGAAGTCAAAAACATCAATGATTTTCGAAAATAATTTTTTTAATCTTGAATTTTAAAGAAAATTTTAAAAAATTTTGTGTTTTTGATGAAATTTGTTGTAAAATCTAGTTTAGAATCATCATAAAACCAATGCTCGATATAATGTTCATCCTAGAACTAATCAAAACTAGCCCTAAGATCGAAAATTGATAAAATGAGTTTTTAGAAAAGTTTACCTTGAAATTTCGGATTGAGAGGGATGTATTGATGTTTTTCACGAATTAATGATTGAAGCATGATTAGGAGTTGAAAAGCTCAAAGATTCTGATCAAAAACTAGGGATTTGGAGCAATTTTGAGAGTAGGAAAGAGAGAGGAGTTGAACGGCTAAGAGAGTTTAGTTTTAGGTTTTGAAACAAATGAGGAAATAAGCCTTTTTAACCTAAAACCCAACGGATGCATCGATGCATGACTCTGTGCATCAATGCACATTCAAGACATGCATCGGTGCATCAACAAGATGAATCGATACACATTCAAAGGGATGCATCGATGCATTGTTAAGTGAATCGATGCATTAAGCACAAAAATGTCAAAAATCCGTTTTAAACACTCAAAATGCTAAATTAATTAGCTCTAGTGGCTTTGGTAACTCATCTATTGAAAATTAATCATGTTCAATCAATCAAATTATTCCTTAAACTACATTTGAACATAAAATTAATTTTCACCAAATAACATAAACTCCCCCTAACTAATAGCATAGAATGCAATCAAAAATTATTATTATAAGCATTTTTCATTTATTCTTAAAAGTGCTAAAATTATTTTAAACACTAAGTGAAGATAGGTTGGTTAAACCTAATTCTCTCCTAAGTGTCCAAAATTTTTCCTTGGCTAAAGGCTTTGTAAAAATATCCGTTAATTGGTGCAAAGTATCAACAAATTCTAGAACTACATCTTCCTTAGTGACATGGTCTCTAATGAAGTGATGTCTTATTTCAATGTGCTTAGTTCTAGAGTGCTGGATGGGATTTTTAGTGAGACAAATAGCACTAGTATTGTCACACTTGATAGGAATGGTACCTACTTCAATTCCATAATAAAAAAGTTATTGTTTCATCCATAAAACTTGTGCACAACAACTACCGGTTGAAATATATTTCGCTTCAGTGGTAGATAATGCAACACAATTTTGTTTCTTTGAAAACCAAGAAATCATCATATTTCCAAGAAATTGGCAAGTACCGGAGGTGCTTTTCCTATCTAATTTGCATCTTCCATAATCCGCATCAGAAAAGGCATGCAAGCTAAAGCTAAAGTCTCTAGGATACCAAAGTCCTAAACTAGGAGTGTCCTTAAAGTATCTAAAGATTCTCTTAATAGCTAGTAAATGTGATTCCTTAGGGCATGATTGAAATCTATCACATAAACAAACACTAAACATAATGTCTGGTCTACTTGCAGTTAGATAGAGCAAAGAACCAATCATTGACCTATATAATTTAACATCCACATATTTACCTCCTTCATACAAGTCAAGCTTTGTAGAAGAGCTCATTGGAGTGTCATGAGGTTTCCCATTTTCCAGTCCAAACTTCTTGAGTATATCTTTGATGTACTTAGCTTGATTGATGAAGATGCCATCTTTTCTTTGCTTGATTTGGAGTCCCAAGAAAAATGAGAGCTCCCCCATCATGCTCATCTCAAATTCACTTTGCATTAGCATAGAAAATTATTGGCAAAAAACATCATTAATAGAACCAAATATTATA